GGCAGACTTCTCATCATGTCCTCACATGGTCTTTCCTCTGTGTGCGTGCATGTCTGTGTCCAAATCTCCTCTTCTTACAAGGACAGCAGTCGGATTGGATTAGGGTCTACCGTAACAGCCTCATTTTAACTTAATCACCTCTTTAAAGGCCCTATCTCCAAACAGTCACATTCTGAGTACTGGGAGTTAGAGCTTCAACATATGAATTTTGGGGGACACGATTCAGCCATAACAGAGAGTAATCTGGTTCAGATGGAGATGTTAATGGGGAAGGGTCAGATATTAATGGGTACCCAAGCAGGGACATAGTGTGGGCTTGCTGAGGATTAAATGGGAATCTAAAGGATGATTAAGAGCTAACTAAACACAGTGGAGGGGAAGGGCATTCCAGGAAGAGGGAAGGGCACTGCCAAGCCTCCCAGTGGGAGGGGCGTGGCAGGAAGCAGAGACCAAGGGGGAGGCAACCATGGTGGCTGAGGAGCTGTGAGACACGGCATGGGGCTAGGATGACACTGACATTGTCAGTGGGGACAGCCAGGCCATGCAGGGCCCTCTAAACCAGGGCAGGGAATTTTGTCTTTTTCTCGAGAGCAATGGGAGACCATCGGAGGTTTTTAGTGAGGGCAGAGGTGGAATGACCAGATCTGCCTTTGGAAATTATCAGTCTGGCTGCAGGTGGACAACGGATGTGAGGGGTTCTGGAGTGCTTTCTGGAAGAGTGTTGGATACAGGAGAATGCTGCAGACATCCAAGTAATAAATGAAAGTGGCTTGTATTCAGGAGGTGGGGTGGGATCAGAAAGAAACAAGTGGATCTGATAGATCCATGGGGACAGTGGGTTAAATTTGGTGGCACTGGATGGCAAGAGTGGATATGCTGGGCACTGGGTGAGGGAGAAGGTGACAAGGCTGTCTCCTTAACTGGAGATGTCTGCCTTCTATAACTGGGTTACTTAGGTTGCAAGTCAGTGGGATGGAGAGCATCAGAAGAGGCTCATGTTAGAATTGACTTTTGATCATATTGACATCAGTAGACACCAAAGGCCCCATGGGTCCCCAGCACAGACACCTCTTTCCCCTGCACATGCTGTTCTGCCTTGAACACTCTTTCCTGCTTATGCCTCACCACCCACCCACCCTTCACGGCTCAACCCAAGGGTCAACTTCCTCAGCAGCAAGGCCTTCCTGAATTCCTCAGACTGGGCTACATGTCCCTTTTATATACTCTTGTAACGCCTGTACTTTTTCTTCGAAGCAGTTGTTAATGGTTAAAATTACATAATTATGTGTTTAAATTCTGTTTCTCCCACTAGAATATAGAGCTTGTGAAGGTCAAGAGCATTTCTGCCTAATTAGTGCAGCAGAGTGGTAGCTCTAGAGCCAGACCCTCTGGGTTCACATCTCGTCTCCCCTACTTCCTAGTGATGTGATCTTGGACAGCGTGTTTCATCTCGCTGCACCTGAGTTGCTTTGAATGTTAAGTGTGGAATATGATGGTACATCCTTCATAGAAGCGGATGATGGATGATTAAATGAGTTAATTAGCATAAAGTGTTAATAACAGTGTTTGACATAGAGTAAGTAAGTACTCAGTAAATGTTAGCTCTTATTATTGTTCATCACTGTACCCCTAAGTATTTGATGGACAGATGATCAGATAGATGGCTATAGACTGATGCATGGGTGGATTGAAGAATGGAAGGATAGGTAAGGTGGAAAAGCAAGGAAGCTCAAATGGGTATTGTGGAAAGAGGGACTGGCCCATACTTCAAGACATAGTTAAATTCCAAGATATTGGGTCCCACTAAGTTAAACTTCTCCTATATGGTTACTTTCAGGCAGGGCCTTAAAGAATCTCCATCAATACCTAAATAGACATTTCTCCAAAGAAGACATACAAATGGTCAATAGGCACATGAAAAGATGCTCAACATCGCTAATTATTAGAAAAATGCAAATCAAATCTACAAGGTACCACCTCACACTGGTCAGAATAGCCATCATTTAGAAGTCTACAGGGGGGCTTCCCTGGTGGCGCAGTGGTTGAGAGTTTGCCTGCCGATGCAGGGGACACGGGTTCATGCCCCGGTCCGGGAAGATCCCACATGCCGCGGAGCGGCTGGGCCCGTGAGCCATGGCCGCTGAGCCTGCGCGTCCGGAGCCTGTGCTCTGCAGCGGGAGAGGCCACAACAGTGAGCGGCCTGCGTACCGCAAAAAAAAAAAAAAAAGGTCTACAAATAACAAATGCTGGAGAGGGTGTGGAGGAAAGGGAACCCTCCTACACTATTGGTGGGAATGTAAACTGGTGCAGCCACTATGGAAAACAGTATGGAGATTCCTCAAAAAACTAAAAATAGAGTTGCCATGTGATCCAGCAATTTCAACCCTGGGCATATATCCAGACCAAACTATATCTCCAAAAGATACATGCACCCCAATGTTCATAGCCTCACTATTCACAATAACCAAGACATGGAAACAACCCAAGTGCCCATCAACAGATGAATGGATAAAGAAGATGTGGTACATATATACAATGGAATACTACTCAGCCATAAAAAAGAATGGAATAATGCCATTTGTAGCAACATGGATGGACGTAGAGATTATCATACTAAGTGAAGTAAGTCAGAAAAAGAACAAATACCATATGATATCACATATGTGGAGTCTAAAATATGAAATTATCTACAAAACAGAAAGAGACTCACAGACGTAGAGAACAGACTTGTGGTTGCCAAGGAAGGGTGGGGGGGGATGGAGTGGGAGTTTGGGATTAGCAGATGTAAACTATTATATATATGTATGACTGAATCACTTTGCTGTATACCAGAAACTAACACAACACTGTAAATCAACTGTCCTTTAATAAAATACATTAAAAAATTAAATTAAAAAAAAGAATCTCCATCAAGCCTTATTCAGTGATAAACCTAAGTATTTGTTTCTTGATTTCAACAGAGGAAAAAAAAAAATCACCACAACCCAACTATCCCCTCCTTAATTAAACTAACAGTACATTTCCTAACTTAACTGTAAAATTTTTTTTAAGGTATAATAACTAAGTTTAATGTGATTTTAACGCTAAATTGATTCATTGATTTATTCGTTCTTATGTTCCTCCCTCAGACACATATGGGATTCCTACCACGTGTCAGATGCTGTGATAGGTACGGGTGGTTACCAAGTCACATAAGCTATTGTCCCTATTCTCAAGGAGCCTAAGACTCCTAATAAACTTTATAAAGAGATTTCAAATAAATATTTATACTCAATATACCTGATCAGAACAAAGCAAATACAGCAGCAGAAGCTGTTTTATAAACAGGGGGCCACAGATGATGAAGGATCATCCTCAGTATATTGTTCACCGCAGCTCAGCTCTGGCTTCAGTAATGAAGCCTCCAGCAGAGGCTGCTCAGTCCCAGCTGGAAGGTATTTGCATTGCTGTCACTCTATTTATGACAGCAACTCATGTCTGGTATTTTTCTTTTTGCCCAGAGGATTCTCTTTCTGTAATTTATTACAGAATTCAAGGCCATTTCATTAGGAGGAAATGTGCCATATCATTATTATAACAACTCTCCCTATTTTTGTTCAATTTTGAAACTGACAATCTAAAGACTATTTTTAGCTCAGTCATGTGTGATTATTTGTTTCCTTATTATGAGAACTTTTTTCCGTCGGACTAGTTAACATGAATTTTATGCTCACATATTATGTCACATGCTCCAATTCAATTTATTTTAAAGCAGATTCTTTGGGGGAAAACTGTAAAACTAATTTGAATTGATTCTTTAGAGATTCCATTTTAAATGAAGTGCTATAAAATTGGCAGACAAAGTGAAAAAATGGAATTGAATTCTCTTCTTCAGCTACTTATTGGATTCAGAAATCTTTTTGACAGTGCCAAGGGTTTTGATATAATGTTTTACGCAATTCTCCTAACATTTATCTCAAACTCCACTGCCTTTATTTTGGTTGTTCGACTCAAAATGATTTCCTGATATTTCCATAGATAAAAGCAGAGTTCTTGCTAAAGGAAATATTTGGTGCTCTGATACAAACTTCTTACCATCTACAGTGGTGCCCGTCTATAAAACATCTGCTGTAAAGCGGGTATTTTAATTCCAGAGTGAATACTGAACATTTGTGGACAAACTTTCTGAGAGACGTGTGGAATAAAACTGCATCTCCAACTTCCTCCAATTTGGCCCCAATTTATATTTCTGCCTTTCATATTTGATGGATTTACAGCTTGAGGATAGCGTGAGAATAATGGGCAAGATGCCTGATGGCTTAATTTCCTGTCCTCCACGGCCCGAGAGGAGACCATTGTTCGTCAGGGCAGGGGGCTCTGTGCTAATCAGAAACAGCCGTCACTGGTGGGGAAAGGGACCCCAGGATTGGTCCATCTGATTGCACTAGATGATTTATATCCGATTATTAACAATCTAATGGAAAATACATAGCAAACACATGTCTACAATTTCACCTTGAGACACACGTGTTTTCCTTGATGTGCTTTTAAAAGGGAGTTTTATTTCACACTCATCTTTTGCCCCGAATTCCCTAAATCGCATCCGTCATTTCTATTGGTCCAGCTAGTGGGCTAAGAGGCAGACTCATGGAGGGCCCTTGCCCAATTTTGCTCTGCTCCCATTGACTGCAGCCTCAAGTACTTGGAGTTCCTCCCCTAAAGTCAGGCTGGTCTTGAAAGAAGCAAATCACTGCTGCATGTGTTTTTGTTCTGATTACAAAGAAGATAATTGTGGGAAGTGAGAGCACCTGTTAGGCTCCGGGGGAAGAAGCAGGCCCAGGGCCAACTCCTCTATCAAAGACACAATGCTTAGTGCTCCCCCTTCCTTGCAGGGGCCCACAAAAGCTCTAATTTTAGTTAAAATGAGTATAAAAATGAATATCTAATAATAAATCCAGCCTACATAGTATTTGTTTTTATACCAAAATAGCTTTTGCATATCATCTTTTATTTTTTTATAGAGGAAGGGGCACATGAACGTCATAATGCAGCCCTGAGCGGAACACCCAGATAAGGGACTGACTGTGGGGTTAGACTGTGACCGTGGGAGCTGGCGGCGAGGTCTCAAGGAGTCTCTGAGTCATACGCCTCTGCGTGTGAAAGTGGGCCTGAAGTTGCTGTAGGTCACAAGGCCGGAAATTGGGAAGGAAACATGGATATGACGACAGTGGTCTCAACCCGGGGTGATTTGCCCCCCAGGAGACATTCAGCAAAGCCTAGAGACAGTTTGGGTTCCCACAACTGCCATGAGTGTCGCTACCAGCATCTAGCGGGTAGAGGCCAGGGATGCCGCTGAACACCCCACAATGCACAGGACAGCCCCACACAACAAAGAATCATCTGGCTTAAAACAGCCTCAGTGCTGAGGCTGAGAAACCTCAAGGTTAAGGTAAAGAAAGGCTGGGACCTGCGAGGCCGGCTGGAGCCCATGTTTGTCTCCCACAGTGTCCAAGCTCCATGCAGGGTGACCCACGGAAGCTGCTGGCGTCCTGTGCTGTGCAGCGACGCTTGCACTTGGCCGAGGACTTGGAAAATCTGAAAGAGGAGGTTGGGCATTGGCCGAGAGGCTGCAGGCCGCTGCCCCCTGCAACAGGTGAGCCGCAGAAGAGCTGCGGCCCGCGAGCTGCGGCAGTGCGGGGTGCCCTGCACCGACCTTCAGAGTGTAAGGGCTGCTGCTTCACCGCCACCTTCTGGACCTCATGCTCACTTCTCTCGTGGCCAAGCCCGGCGCGGAGCCACATGGAGAGCGGCACGCTAGGAAATGTGGTTCCCGCTTAGCGCAGTTGCCCTGGTAACACACCTCCGCGGTGGACCACGTGGAGCTCCGCTCACCAGCACTTTTCACTTAGGATGTGGCTTTTCCCCACCTCACTCCCAACCTTGAATGCACTTCAAGGAGACTTGGCATTTCAACTGTCTGAATCTGCAAGCAGCTGGTGTGCTTTAGACGGAGAGTTGTGCATCCACATCTGTTCTTTCCTTCAGGAATAGAGTCATGGCTGGACACACAGCTGCCTGGATGGACTACACGTCCCAGAGGCCCCTGCAGGTGTAGCTGTGACATTAAGTACTGACCATAGGGCTCTGAGGGAGGCAGTTGTGCCAGCTCCCGAGCCGGCCCTTCAGACACTGGCTGTGCACTCCTCCGTGTGCTCTACCCATTTCCAGCTGGAACCCAGAGGTGGGGGCAGTCAGCTTCAACCGCGTAAGGACAAGAGCAGAGCAGCAAGACGGAAAGATTCTGGAGGCTTTGTGGTCCAGAGAATCTTTAAGCATCCTTTTTCTTGAGTTCTGAGTGAACAGATTAGTCACTTAGCTTGCAGATGTTAAGAGTCAACTCAAATCCACTGAAGCAGCAAAACGAGTATATTTGCTCACGTAATTGGGAAGTCTGGGGTAAGAATTGCAGGCATAGCTGGATCTAGGGGTTCAAACGATGTCATTAGGGCTCTCCATCTCTCAGTCTGGGCTTTCTGCAGAAGTCCAGGGAAGATGGCCTTCAGAAATTCCAGGCTTAAAATCTCCTTATAGCTCATGACCCAGCACAAGACAGGAGCTTCTCTCTTCCAACATATATTTTTAATTACGCAGAACAAGTGCTGGATGGTCCTGCTGGGATCACAGGCTCACCCCTGAACTCATTGCTCTGAAACCCAGAAGGAGATTGGAATGAATCTGTAAAATCACTACCTGCGACAGTCTACTTGAGAAGTTAACCAACATTACCGGGAGCGAAGACAGTGCCGAAGAGGGGGTAAAGTCAGGAAATATAAGTTGGGGTTCAGAAGATGGAAAATCATGCTCACTGGGGGGAATTTGGAAAGGCTTCACAGCAGAGGTGGGATTTGAACTGGGCCTTGAAAGACTTAGAGCTTAAAAATGCATAAAGAAGAAAATACTGTACTTTCTTTTCTGGCCATTTTCAAAGGCTCAGGCAAGCTCAGTAGCACTGTGGGATGGAAAGGACCCTGTTGTTTTTCTCTCCTCTGCCATTGGTTCGGGATGAGAAGTGCTTCCCTCTGAGCACTGAATCCTTCCAGAGGCTGACAAACATGGGGAAGAGTCTGGTTGCCAGGACACACATCTCCAGCCCAGGCACTCTCATGTAAAGCAAGAAGAAACATCGTGCTTCTCTGTAACCTGAAGAAAGGATGGTGAGTGTAATTGGCAGTTCCCTTAATCAGTCCAGAAAGACTTGTTATATAAATAAATGATTCAGATATGAAGTGACTTACCATAGGAAACAGGCATTTCTCCTTTTCATTTCTCATATTCCTGGAACACCTTCTTTTACGTTTGCAGTGGAATAGGCTTGTGATTTACTACACACTTATTATTTCCGAAACTATCTAGTGTTAGGATTTTACAGATACATTTTTAGGCAGTTTCAAATAGCTTAGTAATTTTCCAATTAATCAGGCAACCAGAGCCTGTGGCTCATTTCTTTAGGACAGGGGTCAGTTATCTGGGATGGAGATGCCCCTTTGGCCAACTGGGGTGCTATTGGCTGGCTTCAGGAGTATGGCAGCTGACTGGACCTTAAAAGGTGGTGATTGTGGCAGTGATGATGGTGATGATGATGATGATAGAACCATTGATCATACAGGTGTTGCAGCCAGGATATGAATACCACTCTCCCCTGTTCTAAGGAGACTGCCAGACTGTCTTTCCTAGAGAATCGAGGTACCTTTAGTTTGTTTGATGGCTGCAAGGGCATCCAGGGATTTATCATTTCCTAGTTGTTTGATGATGAAATGATTTCTTTAGGTACAAAGCTCTTTTCATTGATTGTACCTTCGTGCAGGGAGTGGAGATGTAGCCATATTTGCTTTAAGCTTAGCCCCTCTGGATCAGTTTGTCCTTAGAGCACCTTGGAAGCAGTTCAGAAGCTCAGCGTCTGTTATCTGTCCCCTTAGGGGGCAGGGGCCACAGCACTCCTGTGGGACTTCAGTGAGTCCTAAAGGGTTCCTGACCTCAGGTGGGTAGAACCACATAACCAGTTTAACTTAACTGGATTGATTTGACTGGTGGGGTGGATCATATTAGTCCTCAATCATTTGCTCACCCTTCCAATCTCCGCCCATTGCCATGTGACTTGCAGTGTCTCTTATGGTTGGAGCATACTTCTCCACCCCCTTGATATTGGTGCTTTGTCATGGGCAAAATGAAATGCGAGCAGGAGAGATTGAGTGACGGGTAAGGGTAGAGGTTATAGCAGACTTCACTCTTACTCTTGATCATTTGTTCCTCTCTGTCTGCCATTAGAAAGGCGTAACCCCAATAGGCACTGCTCTTTCAGCCCAAGTTCTCACATGGAATGAGAGTGAGAAATACATATTTGTTGTTGTAAGCCCCTGAAATGTTAGGGTTGTTTGTTACAACAGCATAACCAAATGAAAGCTGACTGATACAAATGGTCATTTATTGTCCTACACAGTTCAATGAAAAATTGTCCAACTAGATATATGTCTATATGTGTATCTATATAGTTGAACTATTTTATATAGTATCAGTAGATACATGGATATAGACTGAGGTTGTGACAGGTCTATCCAAGAAAAATTAAGTCTAAGAAAACTAATGAACTACAGTCAGATTAAAGCAACTATAACAAGAAGCATATGAAACTTGTAAGAGCTATAAATATAATTGTATTGGAGAGAGAGCGCTGCAATCAGGCGTCCGTGGACATTGTTAACTGGGGTATAAATTAGTATAACAGTGCTGGAGATGCATTCAGACGTAGTACTGGTAATAATAATAGATGACATTTATAGAATGCTTTTATGTGCAAGGCACTACTATGTGAAGTCTTATTAACCTTACTTGAATTAATGAAATTGGTTTACATGTACTAGCTCGCTTAATCCTCATAACAACCTTGTCAGGAGAGGTATTATTATTAAACAATATATTTTAAAAGGCTTAAAAATTTGAGCACAGATGTGTGCTCTTTGACCCACATGTGGGAATTTATCCTAAGGAAATAATTAAAGATGGGGTATAACGTTTTAATGTAAGAATGTTGATGGCAGCATGGTTTATAATTATGAAACTAGGAAGCAATATAAATATCCAAAAGATGGGGATCTTTTAAATAAATTGAGCCATTTAAAAGTGATATAAAAATGTAGCGTGGGCAAGAAAGGACCTTTATATTAAGTAAATGCTGTAGCTTGTAATAGTGCAGTCCTGTGTTGTCTGGTACAGTCGCCGTGAGCCACATAAGCACTTGAAATGTGACTAGTCTGAATTGAGATGTGCTGTAAGTAAAGGCTTAGTGTGGAAAAAAAGGATATAGAATATCTCATTAACAATTTTTACGTTGACTGCAATGTTGAAATGATAATATTTTGGACATGCTATTCAAATTTATTTCACCTGCCTCTTGGTACATTTTAAATATTTATTTACTTTTATTTTTAAAAAGAACAATTGTATATGTTTAAGGTACACAACATAATGTTTTGACACATAAACAGAGTGAAATGATTACTACAGTCAAGCTAATTAACGTATCCATCTCCTCACATAATTTCTTTGTGTGATGAAAATACGAATCTAGTCTCTTGACAAATTTCCAGTACACAGTACAGCATTATTAACTATAGTCATCATACTGTACATTAGATCTCTAACTTCATTCATCCTACACAACTGTAACTTTGTACCCGCTCACCGACATCTCCCCATTTCCCCCATCTCCCCACCCTTGGTAACTACCGTTGTACTCCCTGCATCTATGTATTCGACTTCTTTTAGATTCTGCATATAAATAAGTTTGTGCAGTATTTTTCTTTTGGGGTCTGGATTATTTCACTTAGCAAAATGTCTTGCAGGTTCATCCATGTTGTTGTAAATGGCAAGGTCTCATTTTCTTAAGGCTGGATAATAGTCCATTGCCTATATATACTACAATTTCTTTATCCATTCATCTGTCAATGGACATTTGGATTGCTTCCATATTTTTGCTATCGTGAATAATGCTGCAGTGAATGTGAGAGCACAGATATCTCCTTGAAGTACCAATGATTTCATTTCCTATTATATAAGTTTAGAAGAGGGATTGCTGGATCATATGGTAGTTCTATTTTTAACTTTTTGAGGAACCTCCGTACTGTTTTCCATAGTGGCTGCATCAATTTCATGCCCACTAACAGGGCACAAGGTTTCCCTTTTCTCCATACCCTCACCAACACTTACGTTTTCTTTTTCATTATAGTTATCCTAACAGGTGTGAGGTGATACCTCATTGTGGTTTTGATTTGCATTTCCCTGATGGTTAACGTTGAGCACATTTTCATGTCCCTGTTGGTCATTTTTATGTCTTCTTTGGAAAACTGTCTATTCAGATCCTTGGTCCATTTTTTAGTCGGGTTGTTTCTTTTGCTATTGAGTTGTCTTTGTACTTTAAAAAACTCTGGATACCAGAAAAACTTAAAATTTCATGTGTGGTTCACATCTATTTTAGGCTTTGCAGTCCACACAGTCCCTGTAACAACTACGCAGCTGCTGTTTAAGGCAAAAGCCTCCAGAGAAAACATGTAAATGGATGGACGTCTTGTGTTCCAATAAAAGTTTATTTATAAAATCAGGCAGCTAACCAGCAGGGGCTTTAATCTGCCGAACCCTGGTCCAGACCAGTGTCCCTTAACCTTGGCCCTCTTGACCTTTGGGGCTAGACAGTCAGTTGCTGTGGGGCTGTCCTGTGCGTTGTAGGATGTGTAGCGGCATCCTTGGCCTCTACCCTAGATGCCAGTAGCACCACTTGCCTCAGTTTTGACAACTGAAATGTCTCCAGACGTTGCCAAATGTCCTCTGAGAGGAGGACAAAAATCTCCCTGATGGAGAACCATTGGTCTAGCCTATATGATTTTATTTTCCTGGAAACAAAAATTGTATGCATGTCTGGGTGTTCTGGAAGGACACACACCCAAGGTGGTGGGATTACACTTTGCCCCATCTCTTTGCTTTTCTGTGTTTTCTAAATTAAGCATATGTTACTTATTTAATATGTAAACACACACACACACGTGCGCACGCACACACACACACACACACACTTGTGTAGAAAAAGAAAACAAAGATGACAAAGAGAAAATAAGATGACAGAAAGAAATCCACGTGTAGGAAAGAAAGAGCAGGTAGAGGGAGAATGAAACCTTGTCAAACCCAAAGGACAAGTTCTCCACCTGGTCAGGCCTTCGAGCACCACCCAAGATGTGACATCCACGCCATGGATGTGTGCGGGCTGACAGACCAGTCTCCGAGTTGACGGTTCGAAGATGAATCTGCCACGTGGAGTAGGCAGGCATTTGCGTGGGGCAGTGTAAGTATTTACCAAAGAGAAACAGACTTGACTTTGATTTACACGTGACACCTCCTCGGATTTAAGGCATACTGGGACCTCCACAGCTGGAACCTCGAAGGGGAAGGAGAAACAAGGGATTAGACAACATATCAGAACAAAACAGAAAGCTGACTCTGTACAGCTACTTCTCACAAAGGCCCGGGTAGTAGCATTTTAGCAACTAAAAATCAGTGCCAATCTACTGATATTTAAAATTCAGTAATCATAATCACAATCATAGGTAATATTTGCTTTGTGCTTACCATGTGCTAGGCAGTGTGCCAGCAGATCTTCGTGGTTGTCTCATTTAATTTTCCATAAAATTTTTCCAAGCTCCGCGTGGTACCTGCTGTTCTTATGACAGTTTTACAGATGTGGAAACTGAGGGTCAGAGACAGTAAGTTATTGGCCCAAGTCACCCAGCTGGCAAGAGGTGGGACAGAGACTGTGGTGCGTGTTCTCTGAGCTGAGAGGCCCCTCCCCTCTCAAAGCTGGTGATCTAAGCTCCAAGGCTGCACGTTTTCCCTTGGGATTCAAGTTCTCATTTTGAATGAAAAAAATATGGATTCCCTCAGAATTTCGTTTTTACCAGATCAGTCTTTGTGGGGAGGAGAAGATTTTGTTCACCCTCATCATTGGTGGGAAGCTGAGAAGCAGGTCAAGTTCAAGTACAATTTGAACAATTTAATGGGGAGGTGGGGGGAGGTGAGGCAATGGTCCAGGCAGGAAGTGATACTGAAAGTCCCATCCATGGCCTGGTACTGGGATGTGGGTATATCTTTTCCATCCAAAGAGGACCCTGAT